TGGGACAGGAGCCTCGGGTTCCTGACATGCGTGCACCCTGGAAGGTCCTTGTTTAAAGATGAAATCCAGACCACTTGCCTTGACCCTTGCCTAGGAGTGATGTAAACGAGTTTATGGGGTTCTGAGGAGGAGGCAGGGGCAGAAGTATGCACTTCCTCCCCGTCTTTCTCGAGGCTTCTCTTTTGTTTCTCACCGCGCCTGCCTGGGATGTCTGGGCTTCTCCCTGGGAGGAGCAGGCTCCTGCCCCATGCACTGGCTCTCCCTGACCCTGGGTGCACGTGTGCTCCCCACTCTGAGGAGGCCTCACCGACGGGGACATCTGGCTGTGGTTTCCTGCGCTCGCTGCTGCAGTGGATGGGCCAGGCCTGCGGGAGGGCTGCTGGGTCGGAGCCCAGGGAGGGATGAGCGCTCAGCACCGATGGGCCTCGCTATTCATATGGGCTTATGCACCCTTTCCCAGCATCAAGCTCCATGTCCGCATAAAAGGATAATAATTCTTGCCTTGAACATTGATTTTATAAGCTTTAGAGAAGAAATATCTGAAGATAACCAGCACCTATCTAGGTACATAGATGGTGTTTGCTATTTGGTACTTAGTAATTTTCAGAGCCGGTATTGGAACCCGGGTCTCTGACTTCAAGACAGAGCTGCCCTGGTGTATATGGGGCCGCTCAGGCACCGCACGCACGGAGCCGAACATGACCAGCAGATCCAGACTCAGGCCACCTAGACCCTGGCTTCGGGAGGGAGGAGGCTGATGTGGCAGGTGGGGCAGCTCTGGGGCAGCCAAACATCCACAGCATGTGTGCGGCGCTTTCCACTGGCCTCTTGGGTCCACTGGGCATTTGCACAGCCCCTGAGTCCTTGATAGTGGGGAGGAGAGATGTGAATGCTGAGAAGGGCATTAATGGACAAGATTGAACCCTTGGCCATTTCTGAAGGCCCTTTTCTCTGAGCTGGAGAAGGATTCCAGAAGGGGGTCAGGCTGGAAGTAGGGTCCGTGCCCCCGAGGGGAGGGAGGTTAGTTGGGTCACAGAGGGAAGGTGAGATTGACCGTCTAGGGTTGTGGGCTGGAAGGAGGTAAGAATGGAAAAGGGCTTCAGATGTGGTGCAGCATAAGGAGCTTGAGGGCTGACGTCTGTCCCCGGCAAGGGCTGAGCTAGTAGCCGCTCAGGTCTCCGGAGGCACATCCACACCTGCCCTCACCCCCGCCAGGGACTGAGGTACTGGAATTTACAAAGCCTGTTCCCCGTGGATACTTCCCCTGACATCCACTTAATCCTGGCTAGGAACGCAGAGCAGGGCTGTCGTTCCCTCAAAGATGGGCACACTGGAGCTCCCAGGGGTTGGTGGTGTGGATGCTGCTTTAGTCTCAGACTGTTGGCTGGGTGGCCCCTGCTCGTCTCGGTGCAGGAGAAACAGCCGTCAACACCGGTGACGTTCTTTACATACAGAGTGACCTCAGCCACCTGCTCCTGAGCTCCTGGATGTGGGACTGAGGCGAGGACCCTGCAGTGCCCACGGGAGTAATACAGAGTATAAATGCGTGACCATACAAATAGGAATGCACAATACTCCGGGTGGCAGTCAGGGGCAGGAGAGGACGGGGGCGGGATGCTCCTCTCTAGAGGATGGTCAGGCAAGGGCTCTCTAGAGAAGCTCATTTGAGCAGAGACCGGAAAGAAGTGAGCAGGATGAGCCGGCCAAGTATCCAAGGGAAGAACATTCCAGGCAGAGGCTGGGAGAGAATGTGCACAGAGGCCCCAGGCAGAGTGGTGGTGGTCAATGTGTTGGAGGGTGGGTGGTGGTGGTCAGTGTTGGAGGTGGTGGTGGTCAGTGTGTTGGACGTGGTGGTGGTCAGTGTGTGGAGGGTGGGTGGTGGTGGTCAGTGTTGGAGGTGGTGGTGGTCAGTATGTTGGACGTGGTGGTGGTCAGTGTGGTGGAGGTGGTGGTGGTCAGTGTGTTGGAGGTGGTGGTGGTCAGTGTGGTGGAGGTGGTGGTGGTCAGTGTGGTGGAGGTGGTGGTGGTCAGTGTGGTGGAGGTGGTGGTACTCAGTGTGTTGGAGGTGGTGGTGCTCAGTGTGTTGGAGGAGGTGGTGGTCAGTGTTGGAGGTGGTGGTGGTCAGTGTGTTGGAGGTGGTGGTGGTCAGTGTGGTGGAGGTGGTGGTGGTCAGTGTGTTGGAGGAGCAGGGACGGCGCTGGAGCAGAGAGGAGACGGGGCTGTGGGTATAGCCAGGAGGCCCGGGGCCCGGGGCTCACCACGCAGCCTCAGAGAAGACGTCAGCCCCACATGCAAACCTGGAGGGCTGCCGCAGAGGAACCCAGCCCCAAACCTGATCCCACGTCTAGTGCTCCTTCCACTGGACTGTCCCTTGTCCCACAGCTGATGACCGTTGCCACGGCTATCGTTATTCCTGTAGCTATCCTGCTGCCATGACAGTGACCTTGGAGGCCAGGAGGCTGGCCAGCTCCTGAGCTCCGGGTTGGGGGCTGCTGCCAGTGAGGGTCTGAGGAAGGAAGCTGTTGAAAGAACCCGCTTGGCCCCGTGGTGTGCCGCCCCCTCTCCTCTGCCCCCTTGGGTTTCCCTGACTCACCTCCGATCTTGGAACATCTAGGGAAGTTGGTGTGGGTCCACCTCACCTGCCTCCTTCGATTAGAAAGAGCAACAGGAAGAATGGGCTTTGCTTTCCATCAGCCCAGTTCCAGATGAGCTCATCTAGACCCTTCCCGCGTCTGTAGATCGTTAGCCGAAGGGGGAGGAGAAGAACGTGTGTGCTACAGGTTATAGCAGAATATGGGAGAGCAAGTAAAGAAGACGTGTTGTTCTGTATTACAGACACCCAGAATGGTAAAACTGGCAGAGACTTTCACACCAGCTTGTCCAGATGCATGCCCAACAGTGGGAATGTACTTAATGCTACTGAACCGTACAGTTAAAAATGGTTAAAATGATAAATTTCATGTACATTGAACCATAATAATAATGATTAAAAAGAAGACTGCCTTGTCCAATGCTCCTCTTTAAGTTGGAGAAACAGAGAGGTTGAGTGACCTCCCCACAGCCACACGGCAGATGAGAGATGTCATCTGGCTGGAGTCTGCTCTCTGAGCTCCCAGCCCAGCACCGTTTCCCGAGGACACCACCATGTTATTGCTCACTGAAGAAATGAGTACAGGGAAGCAGTCACTCCTTGGCCTTTGAAACTTCTGCAGTTCAAAAAGGGGATCTCAGAATCTTGGGATTTCATCCGATTTTTTGCTATAAGAGAGCTAACTGATTAACTTGAACCTCACCTTCCTTCTATGGCTCCCTGAGTAGGTGATTGCTCTGAAAGGCTAAGACCTGTAGACCGAGGGAGGAAAAGGGAAGCAGCTTACCGACTTGAGTCACAAGCTCTGATTTAGGCAAAAGCCCCAGTGTCTTTTCTCTAAGCACTTTCCTGTTCTTTGCTCATTTGAGCCTCGTCACCCCTCAGGACAACAGGATAGAAACTGTGATGTGCACTTTTGAGATGAAGGAACCCACTGGTGTGAATGATCGTGACCTTGTAGGCCTTGAATCCTCACTCCAGCCCCTCCTCCCTGGCCCATGTCACCTTCGTGGCAAGTCTTCATCGTGGGATGGAATGGGACTGAGTCTGCAGGGTTTAACACAAGAGCTCTGTCGTGGAGGGTTCTGGCCAGGAGAATAGAAGAGGATTTCCATTTAAGCACTGGAAAGTCACAATACCTAGGTTTCCCCTCAAGGAATGGCAGAACGGGGGAACAGGATTCTTCAGAAGCCCTGAACCAAAGAGGGACTCTGGTCTAGGAGCTTCTGTTGCTCGGTAGGGGACAGCCGCCAGTCTTGAGAAAGTCACTTCATGCCTTGGTCTTCAGCTTTGTTCACTGCATGTTACTGTAGTTAATTTTAAGAACTTAACTTACTTGTGAAAGTATTTACCGAGCACTTATTTTATGCCCAGTGGTCATATAAGGCTCTGCTGTATAAAGAGTAGTGCTGGGCCCCAAGGACTCAGAGTTCAATGTGGAGTTTCTCCACCTCTGTTCATGAGTGCAGCCAGGAGGGTCCTAGAACCTGTCAGCCAGCTCAGCCGTGCTTAAATGGCAAGGGGAAGATGGACACACATACATAGGTGTACATGTTGACACAGGTAGAGGATACAGGTAACTAAGTCAGGCGAACATCAGGTCAAGGACCAGCCCCTGGGAGTGTGATAGGCCAGACGGGAGGCAAGTTCAACAGCAGATCTTGGAAAGAAGAAGGGCTTGATATGAAGATGTCAGCCTTGGAACGGCTTATGGTAATGCCTGCCTGCTCAAACATTTCCCCAGCTCGGTCTATGTCCTAAAGAAAGGCAGCTTGGTAGTGGGCAAGGAGCCCCAGGTTGACTAAGGAAGGTGTGGGACCAAGTCTTCTCTCTTTCCCAGCTAAAAGGCATTGGACAAATTACTCAAACTCCATGAACCTTAATGTTCTTATCTGTAAAATGGAATCATCAAATCTTCCACGTCTAACAAAAAGACTGTTATAAAGCCAAGACGCCATTGAATCAAAGGTCCTTTCAGACTGTTATATCATATCATTCAGAAGTTGTCGACAGAGCTCCTGGGAGCTTCCTAATTGTTTGGATCTGAGTAAAATCCTGGGGATCCCCAACTACCTAGATGTGTCTGAGAATAGTACAAATCTCCCGTTCCCTCATCGCTGAGATGGGGAGACAATCATGTCGTTTATGGTCTGTGTACTTGCTAGAGGTGTGGGTTCCCACAGTAGATCTTAAGCTTCATGCAAATTCCCTGTCAGTCCTCTTCGCTCCTGGGTCCCCCCACCCCGGAACTGTGTCTGACACCTAGAAGGCGCTCACTAAGTCATGTTTGACTGGTTGAATGAATGAGTGCATGGTCTTGGAGATATTAAAGCGGGAGCTAAGATACGGTGATGGGATTCACATGCCTCGGTGTGCCCATGGGAGCTCACCCTTTCTCTCTCTCTTGCAGGACTCGGGTCAAGCTGGAAAGCCTAGAAGACGCCTACATTCTGCGGGGAGATGATGACTCCCTCTCCGACAAGCACGGCTGCCCGGCTTACGTGAGCCCAGAGATCTTGAACACCAGTGGCAGCTACTCGGGCAAAGCAGCTGACGTGTGGAGCCTGGGCGTGATGCTCTACACCATGTTGGTAGGGCGGTACCCTTTCCATGACATTGAGCCCAGTTCCCTCTTCAGCAAGATCCGACGTGGCCAGTTCAACATTCCAGAGACTCTGTCGCCCAAGGCCAAGTGCCTCATACGAAGCATCCTGCGGCGGGAGCCCTCAGAGCGGCTGACCTCGCAGGAAATTCTGGACCATCCTTGGTTTTCTACAGATTTTAGCGTCTCAAATTCAGGATATGGTGCTAAGGAAGGGTCAGATCAGCTGGTGCCGGATGTCAACATGGAAGAGAACTTGGACCCTTTCTTTAACTGAGCTCGTGCCCCACAGAGACTTAGCAGGTACCAGGAGCGAGAGAGGGCCGCGGAGAGTCCTTCCATGGGACACGGATCGTCTGGCTTGGTAGCAAGAAAGACACTGACACTCAAGTTTCTCGATTCACAGAAGGAGAACCTTCAAGGAGCTGACTGAACATGGAGCATGGGCGCGAGAGACGCGGGGTGGGGGTCTGGGGTCGGGTCCGCGGGGCGAGTGCCTCGGAGCTTCTCTTCCCTGACGTAGCCCCCCTGGAGAAGCCCCGGTCTGTTGGGCTGCTTCTGCCTACCCCACTTTTCATTTGTTCCAGAATAGTTGCAGAGCCCAACAGAATCAAAACTCTCTGCCTCAAACACACATCTTGGCATCGCACTGTTAGCTTTTAACTTCTTGTCACGATTCAGGGAAGGTACAATGGGCCAAGGATTTTTTTCTTTTCCTTTCTTTTTCTTTTTCTTTTTTTTTTTTTTTTTAAAAAAAACAAGACAACCACCTATCTGATAATCAATGCGGTTCATTAAACAGCAACAACAACAAAATTCGGTGCACACAGACTGACCAGAAACCTGGGTGCTAACCTAAAAGAAATTAGAAGTCCAGTTTGTGTCTCTTAATCTCTTAATTGCTCTTTTAACTCATTTCTTCTAAATAAACTATTTAATATCCTGGTCAGGAAATGACATGTTGATGCTTTGCTCCCTGAAGGGGAAAAAAAAAAAAAAATCTGTCCTTTAACAAGCTATTCTGTTCTGTGTCCATGGGTTCGTGGCAGGAAGCTGTTAGAAGTCAAACTTCTAGATGCATTAACTGCTTTCATAGTCTAAAGAAAGAAAAGGAGGGGAAAGGAAAGGAGAAATTCACTCCTGAGTTTTTTGTTTTTTGTTTTTCCCTTTGAACGATGAGGGCTGCCTCATAGGGGGTCCTCTCTGCCGGGATGGGGGCAAAGGGGGTGAGATCACGGGAGATGCTTGGAGTCTGAAGCTTATACGCCACTCTGGTCTCAGCTACACCTTTCTTCTTTGTTGTATTGGAAACGAGTGAAACCAAGCAGGTTGTCCCACATGTATGAAATACAGGGCAGCTGTTTCCTTTTCTTTAGGAAGAATGATCCTTTTGGCTTGGCAGGCCCTCTGGTTTGGACAGAAACCCTCGGTAGAGACAAACGGGGAGAAAAATCAGCCGGAAGCTAGGATGATATAAATAAAAACAGCTCTCTATCCCAATACGCACCTTTGTATTTTCAAGAATCCTTCTATTTATTAAGGAAAATGTCACATTGTGATGTATTAAGCCAGTTTTTCAATTACGGGTTGACTTGGGATGACATGTTACATGCTGTAGTGAATAACATCTATATATTTTTTCTTGTTTGAGTATTTCTGTCCCTGAAGTAACCTTTTGTTTGGCTTTTCTAGATAGCTTTATTTGATTTCGAGTGGCAACGTTTTTTTATTACGGCTTTTCTATTTGCTGTATGATAAAGAACTCTTTTGGCATAAATATTTGTGTTTCCAGTACCTCACTTGTTTGGATTTTACTGCCTGTATACGTTTTGTGAAATGGTCCTGTTTTTGGGTAGGTAACACGTGGACTCTAGTATGTAAATGTTACTTGAATCTGTGCTTCATTATAGTACGTGGCATGTGTGTGCAGATCTTGGATGCTTTATGCCTGTTCAGCAGGAGCCCGGCCTTCACGTTCCCAGGAGGGTGGCTTCACCGTTCATAGTCAGGAGACAAGGCGGCCATGGATTTGCCCTTGATTCTATTTTGATAATGGAAGATAGCAAGGAGAGGGTTTTTTTTTTTTGGTTTGGGGGTTTTCTTGTTTGTTTTTTGTTTTGTTTTGTTTTGTTTTTTACATTCTAAAGATGGTGCTGTGTCAAGAAGGACCCGTTTTTCTTCCCCGTCCCCCATTTTTTTTCAGTACCCCGTAGGAGGAAAGATTGGTGACGTGCATGGTGGGAATCTATGGCCTCTGGTGCTTTGTCCTGTACTTGGTTTAATGTTTTTGTCCTAATCTCTTCAATCAATAAAATTGTGCGTATTTAACTAAAATGCTGAGGTCCTGCAAATGCTGAGTCTCTGCCATCTGGGGTTTGTGGCCACCGCCCACCAGCCAGGGACACCCTCGTCCTCCCAGCGGCTCAACTGTTTCAGCGTGAGCCACCTCGACTGTTAATACAAAGCCGAAGCCAGCTTCCATCATGTGCGGGCATATGCTGGCCAATTTAGAGGTAATATCTCACTGAATTAACCGTCACTACTGCCTGGGGAGATGTGAATTATGTTCCTATCGCAGATTAGGAAGCAAGCCTAGAAAGGTGCTTCACCTGCCCCAGGTTAAACCACCTGTAAGCGATCGAGTAGGCATGGACCACGGTGCGTTCGATCCTGAAGCTCGTTATGCTTTCTATGATGTTAGAGCCCAGAGGCTTCCAGGGCAAGTATGCTAGGAGCGCTGGAGTAGTCAGGCTCTCCTGGACTCACATCACCCAGGCTTCCACACGATTCCTTAGGAAAAGCAGCATCTGCTGCAGACCCCATTGGAAACCTCCAAGGAGGAGACTGCCGAACTCCCAGAAACTAATCCCTACTGAGCAGCCCTTCCCCCGGTCAGACACATAGATTGTCACACTCGTGGGCTCCATGGGCAATCCCATCTCTCTTTTGCACCTCATTTACTAGAAATAACTACAGTCCAGAGGGTCAGTTCGATCCTGGAATGTCTAACGTGTGCCTCCCCTGTCCCTTCAGTGCAGGATGGGGAACAGATAAGAAAGCAGACAAAGACGATGTCCAGAACGGAGTGGTGGGTCAACACATCCACAGAAGCCCCTAAGAGTACGTCTGCCGGCAGGTGTCCGGCAAGGGGTGACCGTGGAATCAGAGTCCATGAGGTGGTGGCTTTGGGTAATGATGGAAGACAAACAGTAGCAAACACAGGGGGAATTATGCCTTGAGAACTTTCTGGAGACACGCCCAAGTGAGCACCACTGGTGCCGAGCTGTGGATAGATCTCATCGAAGTTCTTGCAAAGACTGGGGTTTGTGGAATCTGAAAGGACATGGCTAAAGCAGAGGCTTCCCAGCCAGTTGGCCCTATCTTCTAAACTCACAAAATGTTTGTCACCCTGCCGTGTCACTTCCTTGTCTGTCCCCAGCGGCACCTGACCCAGTGCCTGGCCCATGGGAGGTGTTCAGTAAATAACTGTGAATTGGAGTATAATTTGTGTGGGGACACTATGCTGCTAAATTTCCTCCCAACCCCAGGTTTCTAAGCAGCACATTGTTAGAAAACAGCCTTCATGAGTACTGAAGCCCACTGGTGGCTTTTGCTAGGGCACAGTTAGTCTGATCCAATTTCTTTGCTCTTTCACTCCCTGTGATTAAGCAGAAACGGGCCTGCTGCCCAATGGATGCCTGGTTGAATTGCATTCTGTCAACCCATTGCCTGTGTGGGGGCTGGAGGCGGGGGGCATTGGCACACACAGTTCTGGCCTTTCTGTACTGAGGTTCCACCTTGGTGGGAACCCAGAATCAGGATGCTCCCTCCCCCTTCATGTGTCAAGCCTTTGCCAGCAGAAATCTTTTATTTCTTTAATTCCTTTGGGCATTGGTACTTCACCCCCTTGCTACTTAATCTGGATCTGGGGCAGGGCAAGGGGCCTGGACCGCTGGGAGTGAGGGCAGGAATTGGGGAAGTAGTAGGTCAGGGCTCTGAAGCTTTACCCTCTTATTAGCTATGACTGGGAAAATCACTTAACTTTTATAAGAACCCAGGATATTGTGAAGATGAAACCAACTTAGGGTATGACAAGGGAGTGTCTTGTGATCAGCCGGAATAGAGACTGTTACTCTGATCAGCCAAGGGCATGATGGGGTGCTGTTCTTTTGACTGGGGAATGCTACTGGAATTGAGAGTTATCAGCCTTTATCAAGGCCTTCAAGAAGAGGTGACAGAGACCCACTGAGACTCTCCCCATGCTACAGTGAAAGCAGTTGCACTTCCGAGTGTACTTCTGATGTGCACTTATAGGCAAGAAGTTAAAGTTTCTGCTGCAAGATAGGTTTGAAAACTACTGAAGCAGTCCCACTATTGTTAAAGGGGTAACAAACGAAATTTGATAAAGCATCCAACGTCCAGAGAAATCAAAGGCATCGCTAGAATCATTCAAAAAGTAGGTAATGGACTTCGAACTGGAGGACCAAGGTGTGCAAGGACTTTATAGGTGGGTGGCCTTAAACGAGCATCAGTGGTTTTGTTATTCACCTGACTTCTCTCACTGTGACCTTAGGTCCTTTCCACAATGGCCCTTGTCCTTGACCCAGTCCGTTCTCTTCAGTGACTAGCTCAGTGACCCATATTTAGGTCTTTAATGGGCATCAGATGACAATCTCCCATAATTATGTATTATACACCACTATATCAATTGTCTAAACCCAAAGCGTTCTCACTCATCATCTCTGCCTTTTAGATGTCCCCATTTATACAAGTCAGAGAAGTGCTCAGTGTCACAAGTACATACAAGAGTCAGGCAGCTCAGTTTTGGAGATGGAGTTCCTTGCTGAGCCCATAGGTGACCCCAGCCATGTCTGTGTAATTTCTCTGCTTACTGAGTCTCTCTCTATATGTTGGCACTGCAGGAAGCCAAACTTTGAAACAAAGGCCTGGCCAGAAAAAAATGAAGGCAAGAAGGAAATAGGAATCAACATTTCCTATTTAATCCATGCATAAGCCTCTCAAGGTAGGAGGCAAGTTTTACAAGTGAGTAGTGAGTCTCCAGGAGATTAAAATAATTGAAGGATGCCATCCAGGTACTTAATGCTGAATCCTGTGTTTGAACCCTGGTTTTACAGTCTGTAAAGCCATTCCACGCTGCCAGAAGGAAATGCTGATGCATCTCAGCACAGAGACCTAAATTCTAAAACTGGGAAAGTTAAGACTGGCCCTCCCCCATTCCCAAATCCTGCAGAGAATGTTTCCTACAACTCCCAGAGGCTGGGACGGGAGATGAGCTGAGGGTATCATAGTGAGGCTAAATGAAGTTTTCCCCTTTCCCTGAACTGATTCACAATTCAGCGGGATTTGGTCAGCAGCTTTTGCACACCTGAATTTCCTTCCTTCCCTGAAGAGAAACTTCTCTTCATCCAGACTGTTGAAGCTCTTAAAGCAGGGACATGTAGGTTTAATGAAAAGACAGCACGGTTTAGAGAGATGGCCTCAGTCCGCATGCCTGTTTCCCACACAGTGTGTGGCAAGTCGCTTCCATTGCAGAGTCCCGGAGGCTTCGTGTGTGAAATGGGAAGAAGCGTTATTGTGAGGCTAACTGGTTTCTTGTTAGTTTACATGCTATGTAAACTGTAAAGTGGTCCACACATGGTTTTACAAGGACAGATGGCCTGAGACATGTTACATCGTTAAGGTACTAAAATTAAATTCTAAGTCAGATG